TAATCCCAGCACTTCGGCAGGCCAAGGTGGGTGGATCACCTGAAGTCAGGAGTTCGATACCAGCCTGGCCAACATGGTGAAAATCCATCTCTACTAAAAACACAAAAATTAGCCAGGCATGGTGGTTAGACCCTGTAATCCCAGCTAATTGGGAGGCTAAGACACGAGAATTACTTGAACCCAGGAGGCAGAGGTTGCAGTGAGCCAAGATTGCACCAGCCTGGATGACAGAACAAGACTCTGTCTCAAAAAAAAAAAAAAAAAAAAGGTATTTTCTTATATGTTACATTTGTATTCAATCCTTTCTGAATGTGGCTTAATATCTTTTCACATATTTGAATAAAGCTTCTACTTTAATTTTTTTTCTTTTTTGAGGCGGGTTCTCTATTGCCCAGGCTGGAGTGCAATGGTGCAATCTTCGCTCACTGCAACTTCCACCTCCCGGGTTCAAGTGATTCTCCTGTCTCACCCTCTGGAATAGCTGGGTCTACAGGCACGTGCCACCACGCCCAGCTACTTTTTGTATTTTTTTTTCTTTTCCTTTTTTTATTTAGCCCTGCATAAGCAGGACATCAAAAAATTTGGTTTTAAACTCATAATTGTTCCTCTCCATGGAAATCTTTAGTAAAAGGTGAAAGACTTATTCGTTATGACGAGAAACCAGAGGATAATTTTTGCTTTTTTAATAGAGATGGGGTTTCACCATGTTGGCCAGGCTAGTCTTGAACTCCTGGCCCCAAGTGAGATGCCTGCCTTGGCCTCCCAAAATGCTGGGATTACAGAGCCTCTACTTTAAATCGGTATATTTCCTGGAATGAGGGTTTAGCTGGAAACAGCTCCTGAAGATTTGGTTTTTGCCTGAGGGAGAATCAAAATTAATCCTGTAAATGGGACATTCTGCATCTCTACACCATTAGGAGATTTTCCACTCCTAGGCCTTGAGTGAAATCAGAGAGAGGCAAAAACAAAGACACAAACAAAAAAACACAAACTGTGTTAAATCAATCTTTAAAGAGGAAGAAACCTTAGAAATCAAGTCTAGGCCGGGCATGGTGGCTCATGCCTGTAATCCCAACACTTTGGGAGATCAAGGCGGATGGATCATGTGAGGTTGCAAGTTCAAGACTAGGCTGGCCAACATGATAAAACCCGGTCTCTAATAAAAAAATACGAAAAATTAGCTCGGTGTGGTGGCAGGTGCCTGTAATCCCAGCTACTTGGGAGACTAAGGCAGGAGAATCTCTTGAACCTGGGAGGTGGAGGCTGCAGTGAGCTGAGATCATGCCACTGCACTCCAGCCTGGGAAACAACAGCAAAACTCTGCCTCAAAAAAAAAAAAAAAAAAAAAAATCAAGTGTAATCTCATACTGTAGAGATTATTTTTGTGTAAAGCTGAGGCATAGGGAGGGAAATGACTTGCAGAAGATCACATATCACTTCCGTTGAGAAACAGATGGAGATCCTTGATAACAATGGAATTATTTTTGTCAACTGCCAGCTTCTTCTCCGTTAAATATTTTAATGAGCCAGGTGGGGAGGCTCATGCCTGTAATCCCAGCACTGTGGGAGGCTGAGGGAGTGGATCGATTGAGGCCAGGAGTTCAGGACTAGCCTGGGCAATATAGTGAGACCACTACCATCACCCCCCAGTCTTTAAAAAAAAAAAAAATTAACCAGGTGTGGTGGCAGGCAGCTGTAATCTCAGCTACTTGGGAGGCTGAGGCAGAAGGATAGCTTGAGCCAAGGAGTTTGAGGCTGCAGTGAGCCATACCAAGGCTACTGCACTTCAGCCTGGGCAACAGAGCAAGACCTTGTCTGTGTCTCTAAATAAATTTTAATAAATGATTTTATTGTTCTGTCTTCTTTAGCAAGGATACCATTTTACACAAGCTATACAAGTAACTAAAAGCACAGGCAATGCAGATAAGTATAAAAGAAACTTGCAGGACTGTAAGCCAAAATAAATTTTAGGACCAGTGTGCTGGTGCATGCCTGTAATCCTAACAACTTGGGAGGCTGAGGTGGGAGGATCACATGAGCTCAGGAGTTCGAGACCGGCCTGGGCAACATAGTGAGCTCTCATCTGTATACGTTTAAATAATAATAACAAAATTTTAAAAGTTAAAAAAACAAAATTCTAAGCCTCCAGCCAACTGAACTGACCCTTCCTCTTGGGTCATCAATGGAAAAGGACATCACAAAGTTAACCTGAAAATCAGTTCAGGCCATGATGGCGGGGGTTGGAAATGCCTCACCATCTCCTACTGTTGGAATTTAAGCACAGCTGACCAGAACTAACATTGAAACAGAGGTCCTAAGAGACGCCAAATTCCAGCCTGACCCTGGTAGAGCATCACATGACAGGTAGCAGGCCCCGAGAGAAATCAAGTCTTTCTTCTCCTTTCCTTTTCTTTGAGACATGGTCTTGCTGTGTCTCCCTGGCTGGAGTGCAGTGGTGAGATGATCAGCCTCAACCTCCCTGGCTCAAGCAACTCCCACTTCAGCCTCCTTCAAGAGCTGGGACTGCAGGGAAGCACCACCACGCCGAGCCAATTTTTCCATTTTCTGTAGACAGGGTCTCACTATATTGCCCAGGCTGGTTTCAAACTGGCCTCAAACTCCTGCCCTGGCCCCTCAATATGCTGGGATTGCAAGCGTGAACAACTGTGTATGGCCCAAAGGATATTTCTTTGGCATATTTTGAAATGGCCCTGCAAAGCCGTCTCCTATGGGGAAAGTCTACATTCTGTCAATAACCCGCTTTTCTATTCAGGCGTTTTCCTTGATCCGGGAGAGAATTTACTAAGAATCTGGCACCTTTTTTTTAGGTCTGTTAAGAGCTCCGAGGCCAGGTGCAGTGATTCACACCTGTAATCCCAGCACTTTGGGAGGCTGAGGCGGCCAGATCACCTGAGCTCAGGAGTTGGAGATCAGCCTAGCCAACAAGATGAAACCCCGTCTCTACTAAAAATAGAAGAAATTAGCTGGGCATGGTGGCGCACGCCTGTAGTCCCAGCTACTCAGGAGGCTGAGGCAGGAGAATTGCTTGACCCTGGGAGGCGGAGGGTGCAGTGAGCCGAGGTCGCGCCACTGAACTACAGCCTGGCGCCTGGTGACAGAGTGAGACTCTGTCTCAAAACAACAACAACAACAAAAAAAACTGTCTCCAAAAAAAAAAAAAAAAAAAAAAGCTCCGCAGCCTGCTACCTGAGGCTTCACATGCACGATAAAACCAAAGTCTCCACAACCCCTTAACCAACACATTCCTTTCTACTGACTCCAGGTCTGTAGATAACTCTGCCAACTAATTGCCAATGAGAAAAATCTTTGAATCTACCCAAGACCTGGAAGCGCCCCTCCCCACACCTGATGGCCTTATTTCAGTTGTCCCATTTTTCCAGACTAAACCAGTGTCCACCTTACATGTATTCATTGATGTTTTGTCTCCCTAAAATGTCCAAACAACTGTAACCCAACCACCTTGGGACCTGTTCTCGGAATCTCCTGGGGCTGTGTCCCGGGCCACTGGTCACTCATATTTGGATCAGAATAAATCTCTTCAAACAGGGTTTGATTGTTTGGCTCTAAATTTGTCAAGGGGTAAGTTGAGCCCTGGAGACTAGATGATGTAGCATGCTTGCAACTTCTATTTTTTTTTTTTTTTTTTTTTGAGACAGTCTTGCTCTGTTGCCCAAGCTGGACTGCAGTGGCACGATCTCGGCTCACTGCAACCTCTGCCTCCCAGCTTCAAGCGATTCTTCTGCCTCAGCCTCCTGAGTAACTGAGACTACAGGCAAGCGCCACCACACCTGGCTAATTTTTGTATTTATAGTAGAGACAGGGTTTCACCATATTGGCTAGGCTGGTCTCAAATGCTTTTTCTTTTTTTTAATTTATTTTTTTTAAAGATGGGGTTTCACCATGTTGGCCAGTGTGGTCTCGATCTGTTGACCTCATGAGCCACCCACCTCGGCCTCCTAAAGTGCTGGGATTACAGGCGTGAGCCACGGTGCCCAGCCACAACTTCTGCTTATTAGACTATAGATTAACTCTCTTCCTCACTGTTCCTGTTCTGTAGTTGACTAGGAGAGAGACCTCCTCCCCTTTCAATCACTTACCTTTGTTACAGATTAATTGCCTTCTTTATTGTCCTGTACCTAAGTCAGACCAGATGCCACAAAGACTCTACAGCTGTCACACCTTCACTGTGGAACCTTTTCTAAAAGAAAAGGAACACCTTGACTAATCAGATTGTTATAACTGTGCATTGACCCTGCTAGAGAAAGATGGTGAAATTCTCTTAAGCTTCCCTAAACTATGTCTTTATAAACCATCCCCAAACTTCTGTACTCCATACACTGACTTCCATTCTTCAGAATCGACTTCTCTGGTGGCCATTCCCAAACTTTGAGCTCCAACATACCCTTTTTAGATTCCAATCCTTTTGATTATTTTGGGTTGACAAAAGTGTGGGGACTGAGAATTATGGGGTGAGGGTCCCCTCACTCTTCATTTTTTGAGGGACTTTAAAATAGGTCCAAAGATTATTGGGGGTGTAGGGGAGAAGAAATCTCCTTTCTGCTCTTTTAAGTTCTTGGCTGGGGCCCCTGTAACAAAGACAAATTTAAGGTGGGTGTCGTGGCCCACACCTCTAATACCAGCACTTTGGAAGGCTGAGACAGTAGGGTCACTTGGGGTCAGGAGTTTGAGACCAGCCTGGCCAACATGGTGAACCCCTGTCGCTACTAAAAATACAAAAATTAGCCAGGTGTGGTGGCGTGCCACTGCACTCCAGCCTGGGTGATACAGAGAGACTCTGTCTCAAAACAAAACAAGTCACACAAAAACAAAAAAAACCACACACACAAAAGAGAAAGACAAATAGAAGTTTATGAACATGTAGATTGATATACACATGAGAGAAACTTGGGAAAGTGTAACTCAAAGAGGTGGCTTAGAAAGTGATTTCACATAGTATCTTCGACAAAGAATAATAATACCTTTGGCTGGGCGTGATGGCTCATGCTTTTAATCCCAGCACTTTGGGAGGCCGAGGTGGGTGGATCACTTGCAGTAAGGAGTTTGGGACCAGCCTGGCCAGCATGACGAAATCATCTCTACTAAAAATATAAAACCCAGCCGGGCGTGGTGGCAGGCACCTGTAATTCCAGCTCTTCGGGAGGCTGAGGCAGGAGAATCACTTAAACCTGGAAGTGGAGGTTGCAGTGAGCTGAGATTGCACCACTGCACTCTAGCCTGGGAGATAGAGCGAGATTGCATCTCGAAAAAAAAAAAGCAGTACTTTTGTAGAGAAATGACAGGACAAAGGAGTTTTCAGCTTCCAAGGGTGGCAAATGGTGGGAAGATTTATACGTGGGAAGAAACTCAATAGAATGAGGTTTGTTTGCAGATTCCTCTGGTGTCCTCTCTGGGTTAAGAAGACTCTAGAGTGTCCAGTAAAGGTGAATTTACACTTAGCCTGTAAACAGAAAAGGCGAAGGATAAAGAGAGCCTTTCCTGCATTTGTAGCTTCTTAATTGCCTTCAGCTGAAAATAATTTTATGTCAAAGAGGCATATTTTGCAGTGTTACCTTCTGGTTTTCTTTAGGGGTCTTCACTGAACAAGTAGGTGTTGTCTGGATACCGTTCTTGGTTATCTCATGAGGTGTTCTTTGTGCCTTTAAGCTTTCTAGAGCTCTAGTGGAGCACTGTATATATATCACCAGTAATGAGTTAACTGACATCTTTGACATCTGTTCATTTTCTATTTGTGTGAGAGTCATTTTATCTTTTGTTTTTTGGAGACTGAGTCTCACTCTGTCGCCCAGGATGGAGTGCAGTGGCGCGATCTCGGCTCAGTGCAACCTGCGCCTCGCGGGTGCATGATTCTCCTGCCTCGGCCTCCAGAGTCCCTGCTGGGATTAGAGGCGCCCATCATCACATCCGGCTAACTTCTGTGTTTTTAGTAGAGACGGGGTTTCACTATGTTGGCCGGGCTGGTCTCGATCTCCTGTTCTCAACTGATCCGCTCGCCTTGGCTTCCCAAAGGGCTGGGATTCTAGGAGTAAGGCACCACGCCTGTCCTTAAAATACTTGTTCCTACTTTCAAACACCTTAGGGCTTGCTATGAGGAAGGGACCGAGGCGATGCTCTGGTGTCCAGGTCCCTCAACGAGGAGGGAGGCGGATCCGCGCGAACCTCAGGAGTCAGGCTTCCAATCTCCAGTTTCACCATGTTGGCCAGGATGGTCTCGATCTCTGGACCTTGTGATCCGCCCGCCTCGGCCTCCCAAAGTGCTGGGATTACAGGCCACAACTTCTGCTCCTTACACTATAGATTAACCGTCTTCCTCTCTGTTCTCGCTCTGTAGGGAACTAGGAGAGAGAAGACCTCCCCTTTCAATCACGTGCCTTTGTTCCAGACTAATTGCCTTCATTATTGTCCTGTAATTAAGTCAGACCAGGGCGCCTCCCTCTGGCTTAGCCATGTCCACTCCCGCTCCCTTACTTTCCCATTTCCGTAGGTCCCATTCCCGCACGTGGTACAGGCCACACCTGGAGCTGCTTCCGAGACGCCGCGGGCGCGGGTCTGCTCTGCCCGGGGAATTCCCGACCCCGTTCCGCAGCCTAACGGCGTGGCTTGAACCCTGCGGCAGCCCGTAGCCCCCGTCCTTTCTCCTTCGGACTTCGGTTTGGCTGGATCTCTGTCTTCGTGAGAGGGGCTGTGACTAAAAGCTGCTTTTTGTCAGAGAGCTGCCAGTCTGTAAGAGCCTCCGTCCCGGAGAGATGCCGGCCCCCGAGTCCCCTCAAACCGCCTCAAGCGCCCCTCTCCGCCGGAGCGGCGCGGCCGGAACTGCGCAGGCGCGGCGTCCCTGACCTCCCCGGGTTAACTTCCGGGGGTCGCGCCGCCCCGCTCTCTAGCCGGGGCTCGGGGCTCTGGGCTCCGGCGTCTGCTCGGCGGCAGCCTCCCCTCGGACCGGCCCGGCGGGACCCAGGGGACCGAGCCGAGCCGCGGGGCCCGCTCCGGCCCGGCCATGAGCGCGGCCGCATGATGCGTCCCTGCCTCGGCCGCTGCAGTCGCCGCCGTCGCCGCCGCAGGCCGGGAGGAGCCGCAGCGCCGGGCGACCCCGCCCGGGCCTCGGGTGAGTGCGGCGTGCTGGGCCGGGCGGCCTGCTTACTCCTGGGTCTCCCGGCCCCGGGCCTGCCCTGCCCTTCCGTGGGTTCCGCTGCTCCCTCTCCTGCACCCTGCTGCCCACCTGAGACCTGGAGTTCCTAGGGGCACCTCCGTGCCCGCACCTGACTTCCCTCCCGGGTGCCCTCTTGTCATTCCTTAGTTACTCTCGGGTTAGGGCCGGGATTGCAGCACCAGCTTTTTGCCTGACCTTGGGCGTGACACTCGGCTCTCCGAACCCTAGTTTTCCGTGCGGCGGATGACGGGGTGGTGGTTACAGAGCAGCTATAAACCCTGTGCACGCTGTAAAGAGTGTTTTATAGGCACGTATTACAATGAGCGGTCTCGCACGTCGTGTTGTGGCTTCTCTTCCTCTTCAGTTGTAAACTTTTCTCTGTTTCCTCTCTGCCCATCTTCCTAGTTACCTTCCCTCCTGCTCCACGTCAGTCATCGTTGGGTGTTAGTTACCTGAAAGGGCATCTGGGACAGTCAGGTCAGCTCTCAGGGCAGTAAGGTCATCTCTCCCGGTGTAGTTCCTTCTGCAACTGAGTCCCTTTTTTGATGGTAGATAGACGCACTCTTTATTAGCTTATGAATAACCAGTTTATTGTGGCAGTTAAATTGGACGGTAAGAAGCAGTGTTGTTGGGGGGCGACCTGCCTTGTAGCTTCTGTAGTGCCTGAGCTGTAAACAGTGCTGGTGAAATCGCTGCTACAGTGTTGCGTTTGCAGTCTGCTTAGTGTGCACTTAAACGCACACGTATTTATCTATTGTTACTGTCTCAAGTGGTCTAGAGGTTTAGGTCAATACGTATTAATATATCTTTCTAAACTCTTCACACAGATGACGAATCTCTCTCTCTCTCTCTCTCTCTCAATGTTTTTCAGTGTTTACATACCTGAAATCAACTTTTAGTCACTTTGTGGCTTTGCTTGCAGTGGCTCATGCATGTAATACCAGCGCTTTGGGAGGCTGAGGCAGGAGGATTGTTTGAGCCCAGGAGTTGGAGAGCAGCCTGGGCAACATACTGAGAGCCCCATCTCTACAAAAAATTAAAAATTTAGCCGGGTATGGTGATGCACGCTTGAGATCTCAGCTGTTTGGGAGGCTGAGGTGGGAGGATCGCTTGAGATCGAGATCATGCACTCCAGCCTGGGCAACAGAGTGAGATCCCATTAAAAAAAAAAAAGTCAATTTGTTAAATTTGCTTGTTATAAAGTCAGAACTTGGTTAAAGTGAAAGGCTCTTGGGATATTTGAAATGCAGAATGGAACAGAGTATTAACTAAATTGCATTTCTTGCACGCTCTGAAAAATAGGCAGGGTTATTGGAGTTAACTTGCATTGTGTATTTTTTGGAGTTAGACTGGTAGGCCCACATTGACTTCTGATTTGAGAGTTGGAGGAGGAGACGACTATTCAAAAAGGTAATTTCCTAAAGGGTCCGCTAAACAACAGTGGGAACTCTTCTGCTCCCATTACCATTGGCCCAGAGCCTGCCTTACTTAACACATTACTACACTGGAGCTTTACAGCCCTGCTAACCAGTGAACTGTAAACTCAAATCCTCGTTAAGAGCGGGACATTATTAGCCTGAACAGATTGACCCTCTCAGTGAGAGAGAAAAGCACTGGAAGGAACTGTATGTAAGAACAGTCTTGATTCAGTCAAAAGTATGAATGTACATGTACATTCTTCCTGAAACTTAACTGCTGGCTTGGACACTTTGGTGACACAAATAATATAATCTTTGTTAAAGTAACAAAGGGACTGCAATAAATGGGACTGGAGATAAGTTCACATGGAAGGTTAATATTTGGGATGCATTGAGTAGTCTTCCTGATTGGACTATACAAGATTATTTTACTAAAGCAGCTTTTTGAGTATGTTTCTTTAAAATATTTTAACTGTAGAAGTACCTTTTTTTTTTTTTTAAACCTTAGAGCATAAAGTCAAAACTCATTTTCACTGGAAATACTTATTCCCAAAGCTAGTCTCCAGGGTCAGTGTTTGCAACTAGCTGTGTGGCCCTTCTGTTGTAACATCTGAGAAGAGTGTCCGTGGGCTCTGCCAGTTCGCTAGCTGTGCAGTGTAGAGGAAACAGTGCCGGTCCACACAGCGTGGCCTCACTTCTGATTGCTACTGCAAGTGCTTGTTACTGTTTTTTGGGTGGAGGGGATGATTCCCAAAAGCACCCTTGGGTGGAGTCCGGGGAACCAAAGGCACAGTTGTCCTCTCCCTGTGGAGTCAGAACATGTTACTTTCTTGGTCTTGATGTGCGACAATATGTGCTGAGTACTGCCAGCCTCAGAAGCTCACCTGAGCCTTGGTGGTCAGTTCTTATTGAGGCTCTATTATGCAGGCACGCTTGATTGCCCACGAGGTTGATCTTAGTTCCTGGATAGACTGCTACTCTGAAAAAGACCGCCCTCACCCCCACCCCTTCCCCACACCCCTCCCCCACGCCTTGCCATCATATTCTTAGTTGAGGACAAAGGCCAGACCTCTTTTTGGGTGAGATTAAATAAGGTTAAGTTGTGTTTTCTGTTTGTTGGCTTTGAGACAGGATCTTGCTGTTCTGCTCAGGCGGGAGTGCAGTGGCACAATAATGGCTCACTATACCCTTGATATCTTGGACGCCAGTGGTTCCTTCTGCCTCAGCCTCGCCATTAATTGGGACCACAGGTGTACGCCACCACGCCCAGCTTATTTTTTTTGTAGAGATGGGGTCTCACTGTGATACCCAGGCTCTGAAAGCCATGGGCTCAAGCAGTCTGCCTGCCTCGCCCTCCTAGAGTGCTGTGATTACAGGCGTGTTACACTGTGCCTGGCCTGTTTAAATTATTTACTACATATCATACTTCTTTCCTGGTCCCTTCCTACTTGAAAATACTGTATACTACTTTGCTTTGCCATTGACAAATGACTGTCTCTTCTAGAACATGGAGACACAGGCCACAGGGAGAGCTCTCAGCCTTACTTTCGTTCTAACTCAAATGTCTTTGAATATCCGTCAGTCATTTTCTTCTGCTTTGCCTTCGAGGAAGAGACAGTCCCTCCTTCCTGATGTTAACTCTTGTGTCTGCTTTGGTGTGCTTGTTATGGGACCGTGAATTGTCATGTACTATCACTTGCCTTTTTGATGGTTTTTTCCATTTGCTTGTTTCTTCGCTTCTATTTACAAACGTGTTCTTGTCTTGCTAATCTTAGTCTTGCTTGCTACTAAGTTCCATTCCATTCCATTCTTTTTATGTTTTTGAGATGAGGTATTGCTCTGTTGCCCAGGCTGGAGTGCAATGGCGTCCTCTTGGCTCACTGCAACCTCTGCCTCTCAGGTTCAAGTGATTCTCCCGCCTCAGCCTCCCAAGTAGTTGGGATTACAGGAGTCCGCCGTCATGCCTGGCTAATTTTTGTATTTTTGTGGAGCTGTGGTTTTACCATCTTGGCCAGGCTGGTCTCGAACTCGTGACCTCAGTTGATCTCCCTGCCTTGGCCTCCCAAATTGCTGGGATTACAGGCGTGATTTTCAGTAGAATCCTATTAATCCTTGAAGCACACCCAGACTCTGTATGGGACCCACAGTGCCTTATTTTGGTTCCAAATCTTATGGTTTTGAAAACACTGCATTCTTCTACAGTGTCTTACGGTAAAAGGTGTTTGAAAACTGTTGGGTGAATGAATAACTTGGCAAGGCAGAGAGAATTCTAATTGGAGGAAATAGCAGGGGCAGAGCCACAGAGGTATGAGAGGCCAGGTAAGGGGAATCCAAGGGAGTACCATATGGAATAGGGTGGGGAATGTTGAGCCAGGAAAGTTTGGGAGAGCTGTAAAGTTTTGTAGCGGGTTGATTTCGTGACCTGTGCTTTGATTTTGTTTTATGTATTACTACTATTTTTGAGACAGGATCTTGCTATATCACCTAGGCTGGAGTGCAGTGGCATGACCTTGACCTGCTGCAGCCTCAACCTCCTGGGCTGAAGCAGTCCTCCCACCTTAGCCTCCTGAGTAGCTAGGGCTACAGGTGCACACTGCTGTACCTGGCTCTTTTTTTTTTTTTTTTTTAATAGAAATGGGGTCTTGCCATCTTGCCCAGGCTGGTCTTGAACTCCTGAGATCAAACGATCTGCCCATCTCAGCCTCTTAAAGTGCTGTTATTATACATATGTGCCACTGCATCTGACCCTATTTTTTTATTATTTTTTTCTTTGAGATGGAGTTTTGCTCTTGTTGCCCAGGCTGGAATACAATGGCGCGGTCTCAGCTCACCGCAACATCTGCCTACTGGATTGAAGTGATTCTCCTGCCTCAGCCTCCCGAGTTGCTGGGATTAGACACCTGCCTGCTAACATGTGCCACCACGCCTGGCTAATTTTGTATTTTTAGTAGTAGTGACGGGGTTTCTCCATATTGGTCAGGCTAGTCTCGAACTCCCGACCTCAGGTGATCTGCCTGCCTTAGCATCCCAAAGTGCTGGGATTACAGCCATGAGCCACCGTGCCTGGCCTATTTTGAAATTATTTATTTAATTTTATTTTTCAATGAATTTTTATTTAGGTGTGTTTTTTTTGTTTTTGTTTTTTGAGACAGGGTCCGGCTCTTTTTTTTTTTCTTTTTCCAAAGACAGGGTTTCACCATGTTGGCCTGGCTGGTCTTGAACTCCTGACCTCAGGTGATCTGCCCACCTCGGCCTCCCAAAGCGCTGAGATTACAGGAGTGAGCCACCGCGCTTGTCCGGGTCTTGCTCTTTCACTCAGGCTGGAGTCCAGTGATGCAGTCACAGCTCACTGCAGCCTCGAGTGCCTGGGCTCGAATAGTCCTCCTGCCTCATCCTCTAGAGTAGCTGGGACTACAGCTATGTGCTACAGTGCCCAGATACTTTTTAATTTTTTTTTTTTTTTCCAGACAGGGTCTCCCTGTGTTGCTCAGTCTGGTGTTAACTCACGTGTTCCTCCTGCCTTAGCCTCTCAAAGCATTGGGATTGCAAGTGTGAGCCCCCACCCCTGGCCTGTGCTGTGATTTTGAAAGATAACTCCTGCAGCCACGTGTAGAGTCATTGGAATCTAGTGACCCTTGAAGTTCGTGTTCTGCAGAGGTACAGGCTAGAAACAAGGGCTACCTAAACTTGGGTTGTGGGAAAGGTGAGAAGAGAAGAATCAGAGCTGTAAGTGGAAGTGTCGTCGTATCATAAACATAGGAATGGAGGAACAGGAGGAATTTTGTGTCCAGAGGCTAAAAGGTGCTGAATAAATCCTGGTTGCATGAGGAATGTCACTGATTTGAAAAAGACGCTAGCTCTGTGTTCAGCTGGTGGTTGCTTCCCCGGGAAACACTGCATTGCATTAGCAGCTCCCTGGGAGGGGCAGTCAGCTAGAGAGGCTTCCAGTCTCATTGGAGACGGGCTTTTCCAGTTCACTAAAATGTTTTGAATCCTTAGCTTCCTTATTTCCCACCATCAGTTTATTCATTACAGAATGCACTTTCTAAAACCGAGACCTCTGGAAGCCAGTGTGTTTTAATGTAAGAACACCGGCTTCGGAGTCAAAACAGTTCTGAATCCACCTAACTGGCTGCGGATCTGAGCAAGGCACCTAGCCTGGAAGATTCAATTTCGTCATCCTGAACACGAGCTGATGAATGCCTGGCTTGTAGGGTGGTGGTCACATGTGTAAATCTCCTGACACACGGTAGACGCTCAGTAAATAGCCTTTCCTCTCACTCTCAAATATTTGACGTTGTCATTAACTTGTAACTGAGAGCTAAATACATTATTAGGATGTCATATTTTCTTAGTATTTTGAACTCTGGTTAATCTAGCATAAAAGCTGATTTTGTATTAGACAAGCACACTCTAGGAAGATAGGGAAGGAGGTTGGGAATCCCAGTCTGATTCAGGCTCAGCTGTTCCCTGGGACAGGACACTTAATGAGGTTTGGAACTGTAGAGTTTTTTTTATTTCTGGATTTAGATTTCTGGAGGGTTTGGTTACCATACTGGGATTCTTAAAAACAGCTGCTCTGTTTGACTGTCAGCGTTAGGTTGTGGCTCTCGTACAGGGATGGAAGGGGAACCTTTGGGGTTCGAGTGAGCATTCCTTGGAGACTGCCTCATCTGGCTGTGTGCTGTAGTATGATCTCACACACATGTTTTCTGGGCCTGGAGTTGTGACTTCCCTACAGGTAGGGGTTTTTCTCTTCATCCCCTTTTCCCTCTTTCTTCTGTAACTCTGGTACGTTTCTCTTCTACTCCTCTTCTCCCAGGCTCCTTTGGGCCTCTAACCCACTCCCATGGCAGATCTTGCCACACGCCCCTGTCATTTGCCTCCAGGCTTCCTTTCTACTTTTTCTTGTCTGCTTCAAGCACCCTCCTTCCCTTACTTAGTCACTCAATGAATGTTTGTAGAGTGTGGCGAGGCTCGCGAGTGCTGGGGATGCTATGAAGAACATAACGTTGAGGTGATGGCAGAACGAGGCTGCTAGGAAGGGAGGCCAGCAGGCTCCAGATGGAGTGGGGCTTTCTAGGCCATGGTGGTAGGGTGGAGGTGGGGGGAGGATTTTAGTCTAACTGCAAAGGCAGTGATTGCATGGGCTTAGGCAGGGGAATGACATCTGATTTCTCTCTGTAGAAGACCGTGCTGGGTGCCGCATGGGGGACTGGATTGTTGGGTGAGCAGAGGCATGAGAGTAGAGAGAGGACTCCCCAGATGATGTGAGCACTCCCCAGGTGAGAGCTCATGGGACCTTGCTGGTTGGGGGGGAGATAGTTAGATTTGGGGTGGGTTTAGAGGTGCACCCTATAGGACTTGCTGATTAGCTAGATGTGGGGAGTTGGGGAAAGAGATACACAAAGGGTGGGTCCTTGTTTTTTGACCTTGGTATGCCATTTATTGAGAATGGAAAGAGTGGGGTTGTTACTGATGGGGGGAGGTTCTGCTTTGATCCTCCTGCAGTGGGGTAGTTGGGTGGCCAGCTGGATATACGCACTGAGTGATGTATTGTCAGCCTGACAGTTTTCCAGATATCATTTTCTTCTTTTTTTTTGTGAGACAGAATCTCTCTCGCTCTCTTGCCCAGGCTGGAGTGCAGCAGTGTGATATTGGCTCATTGCAACCTGTGCTCCTGGGTTCAAGCAGTTTTCCTTTCTCAGCCTCCCGAGTAGCTGAGATTACAGGTGTGTGTCACCATGCCTGGCATATTTTTGTATTTTTAGTAGAGATGGGGTTTCACCATTTTGGCCAGGCTGGTCTCGAACTCTAGACCTCGTGATCCACCCACCTCAGCCTCCCAAAGTGCTGGGAGTACAGGCGTGAGCCACTGAGCCCAGCCCTTTTTTTTTTTTTAAAGCTTCATGAGCCTGAGGTCCCCATGAGCTCCTTTGTGGAGAGTATATATATGAAGGGAAGACCAAGGACTAAGCCCAGGTGCTCCTGGCATGGATCTGAGTGGAGAAGTATCCAGGCAGAGACTTGCTGCGGCTGGCGGGTAGGAACTTAGTGTTGTCCCCCAGGCCCCTCACTCCTGAGACTGGCATTCCCTGTCCCACTTCCGTGGTTTATTGTGTGCTGTGTATGTTCCCCAGTTTGCCATGCTTTTGATCTGCAGTGTCCACTTCCTGTTGTAGAGTGACTAAGTATTTTAATATGAAATGCCCTTCTAGAAAGGTCAGGCAGGGTTACTATTCACAGAGCGGCTTATGCGCCAGCATATTGTTGAGACTTGGCTTTAGTTAGGTTAATATTCTGGTGTGGATTTTTTTTTTTCCTTAAAAGTTAATATTCCGATCTTTGGATTCAGTAATTTAAGTAGAAAATCGCGGTTTCTTAGAGCATACATTATTTCTTATGGTAGGATTTGAAAGGACAAACTGAATATTTCCTGATTGCCAGTTGTTGGAAAGAGCACTTAGGAGTGTGGTCACCGTCGGCCCACTGCTGTGGGTGAGCTGAGAGCTGCGCTCCTTTTCCAAGTTGAGTGAGGATATGAGCTCCCTCTGTAGCCTTCCCCACACCAATAAGGTTCCCTTGCTCGTGCAGGCTGGCCACGTGCCTGGGATGAGGGTGCCTTCGGCCCTGCTTCTGTGTGACCCCCGTTGGCAAGGCCCATAGGAACCCTTGTGTTCTTCCGAGTGACTCAGAGCTCCCCTTGGACCCAACCTCAAGTGCCCCTTCACTTTCTCCGAGTCTGTTTCTCAGGGTCCTCGGGTCTTCAGTGCCCTGAGTTCCGGTCACCTGGCTTATGAGGCCCTTCCTCCTGCCCCCCCTGGACTCTGAGGTCGGCCTCTCCAGCTTGCATCTTGGTCTTGCCTTCGTTCCTCTGCTTTTCTGTCCCATCATCCTGGCTAATCTCCAGCCCAGGGTAAGTTTAGGGTGCTGGGCTGGGCTTTTGGATAAAAGGACCAGCCATTCCCGTCCTCTGTGAGACAGTGAAGGTGTCAGCATTGTCTGGGCCCCACAGGGTTACTGTTGGCTTCTGCCTCTCCACCCCATTTCCATTTTGCAATCTCCTAGGCTCTCCCAGCCCGCAGCCCCGCCCCTGCTGTCCGCTGAGACTGCACTCATCTTCTGAGTGTGAACTGCTTTCACTTCTCTTCATCCCTGGGTTTCTCTGTAAGCCCCCCTTTCTTCCTGTAGGGAGGAAGGATCGTTCTGCTTTGTCGACCATCCCCCTACTCCACCCACACTTTCTGTCTCCTGTCAGTACAATTCACACTTGATTCAGATGTCCTCAGCTTTTCCTTGATGTCCTTCTGTCCCAGAATCCCACCCAGGGTCATGGAGGACATGAGTGGGCCTGTCTCCTTAGGCTCCTCTTGACTGTGGCACTTTCTCAGAGGTTCCTTGTTTTGGTGATTGGGCAGTTTAGAGCAGTGCTGCCGGTCAGGGACTTTTTGTAGGATGCTTTCAAATTGGGACTTGTTTGATATTTTCCTCAGGACTAAACTCGGGTGACGAGGTAGAGGGCCTGCATCATCACAGTCTGTCAAGGCTGGATTCTGTCCACACAACTCATTGTTATGGATGTGGCCTTGAACACCTGGCTGACTGAGGTGGTGTTTGCCCAGTTTTTCCTCATTAATGTTCCCCCTTTCCTCACTCTGCCTGTTAGAAACTGTCCCTGTGCATGGCTGTACTTGAGGGGTGGGGAGCCACGTCTTCCATCCTTCCAGAAGGAGGCACGTGCTTTTCTTGGATTTGCGGTACAGGGTGTTTGTCTATTTTCTATTTATTCAACTATGTCTTTACGTCAGTCTGGACTTGTGCATGTTTACTGTATGCTTTGGGTTATAAAGCAGTACTGTTTTATTTTGTTGCTCGGGCTGTTCCAGCTTTGGCCATTGGAAGCTGTTTCACTTGGTTCCTATGTCCTTTTCACGTGCCCCCAGTCCCCATGATAGTGTGTGTGTATTGTGAGCACTTAATTACTCTCCAACAACATAAGATGCTCCAGGTTCTTCTTGTATATATATATGTTTTCCCTCAGTCCTGGTTCCTTTTATTTTTATTAGAGAATGGTATTAAAAACCAAGGTCTGTAATGGCTCACACCTATACTCCCAGCACTTTGGGAGGCTGAGGTGGGAAGATTGCCTGAGCCCAGGAGTTCAAGACCAGCCTGGGCAACATAGCAAGGCCCCATCTTGAATGGTAACAACAACAACAACAACAAAAAACCCAAGATCTGGGAATTAGATGTGCTGGTGGCTGTTGGGGTGTTGCTTCTAGGCCCTGTCAACTGACAGAGCAAGTAAATATACATGTGGATGCTCACCTATGTGTGTGTCCATATCTATAGATATTTCTGTATGTAACTGCCCGTATCTGTCTTAAACCAAAAATGAGTTCATAGTCAGGTCTCCAACTCTAATCCATTACCATGTGGGTCATTCCAGCTTCCTCCTCTTCTTACCTGGAAACTTGCCTTTCAACAGTGAGACTGGCTCTTGCCATCCATTTACTGAATTGTTTTTTTCTTTTGAGGCAGGGTCTTGCGCTGTTGCCCAGGCTGAAGTGCAGTGGTGTGATCGTAGCTCAGTGCAACCTTGATTGCTTGGGCCCAAGTGATTCCCTTCCTTAAGCCTCCCAAGTAGGTGAGACCCAGGTGTGTACCACCATGCTTGGCTAATTTTTGTTTAAAAATTTTATTTATATTTTTATTGTAATTTTTTATAGTTTGAGACAGAGTCTTTCTCTGTTGACCAGGCTGGAGTACAGTGGTGTGATCTTGGCTCACTGCAACCTCCGCCTCCCAGATCAAGTGACTCTCCTGCCTTGGCCTCCAGAGTAGCTAGGATTATAGGCGTGCAGCAACCCGCTGGGCTAATTTTTGTATTTGTAGTAGAGATGGCGTTTCACCATGTTGGTCAGACTGGTCTCGAACTACTGACCTCAGGTGATCCACCTGCCTTGGCCTCCCAAAGTGCTGGGATTACAGGTTTGAGCCACGCTGTGCTCGGCCTATTTTGTTTGTTTGTAGGGACAAGATCTTGCTGTGTTGCCCAGGCTGGTGTCAGACTCCTGCGATCAAGCAGTCCTCCTGCCATCAAGCAGTCCTCCTGCCTCAGCCTCCCAAAGAGCTGGAATTACAGGCATGAGCCACTGCATACTTGACTGTTAAATTCCAGAATGTAAGTATTAATATAATGGTTTCAGAATTGTTCATCATGCCCCATGGGAAACTACTTTATCCACTAGAATAGGTGCATATGGCTCCTGCTTACAGTGTGAGACCGAAGTCTTACAGATTCCACTCACCACTCAAGTTTCTTAGGTCAGCACCTTCCCGATGCCCTCTGCAGTACAGTTTTTTGTACATTGATACATTTGTAATATAGGTAGATAGGTAGGTTCTCCTGTCATAGCCTGCATTCCGTCCTGACATCTCTGACCTCCTAGATGATTTTCCTTTACACTTGCATGCATTAACGTTCACTGTGTTACAAAGTTCTGTGAGTTATTGCAAGTTCATAATGTTATGTCTCCACTTTCACAGGGTCATGTAGTTACACTGCAGGAAAGCAAACCCCCTGTGCTTTACCCACTCTCCACCCCCTGGCAACCACAGATCCGGTTACTGTCATCTCGGTAGTTTTGCCGCCTTCAAAATGTCATATAATTGGAGTTCTCAATATGTAGCCTTTTCACTGGCTTCTTGTACTTAACAATATGTTTTTAAGATTTACCCATGCCATTGTGTGTTAATACTTAATTTCTTTCTATTGCTGAATTGTATAGATGTGTCACAGGTATCCATTCACCTGCTGAAAGACATCTTGGTCGCTTTCACTTTTGAGTGAGCATGAATAAAGCTGCTATGAATATCCCTTGCAGGGTTTTGTGTGGATGTTAAAATTTCACATCAGTTGGGAAAATGCCTAAGAGCGTGATGCTAGATCTGATGGTAAGGGTATATTTAACTTTGTAAGAGGCTGCAAAACTGTCTTCCAAGTGGCTGTACCATTTTGTGTTCACGTGAAATGAGAGGAGAGTTCCTGTCGTTCCGCATCCTCTCCAGCAGTGGATCTGGTCAGTGGTTCTTATTGTAGCCATCCACATATGCAGGTGGTGGTGTCTCATGGTCTTAATTTGCAGTTCCCTGATGACATATGATGGTGAGCATGTTCAAGTGCTTATTTTCTTCTTGTATAACCTTGTTAATGAAGTGTCTGTTTGGATCTTTTTGCCTATTTAAAAAATTGCGTTTGTTATTTTTGAGTTTTAAATGTTCT